ATTTCTTTTCGTTCAATGCTTTAGACGTGGACCATGGGCGAATAGACCAACTAGAACCAGTTTATCTAAAGTGTATAAGTTCTCGTTACCTACAGTCTACAACAGCCCATCAAGTAGGTAAACTGGGATTCGAATCTCTGCCAGTCTGGTACATCTTTTGAGTATAATACAGGGTGAATAATGTAGTCCATTCATTAGCAGGTAGATTAGGTGGTATTTATGCTAATCCACCTGCAAACTGAACAATTTCTAATGCACGGGCTACGTAAATCAGGCTGTATAAAGTCCATTCCAAAATAATTCGTTGACTCTTCAAGTATCAATAAAATGTTGATGATACCCTCAACCACAAACTTCGACTACCTGTGAGCAGGTCCGGGTTGATTTTATTTATTATACCTGCCTAGGTGAGATGTACATGTAAATGTGGGTGAATGTTTTAGTTAAATTATTTAGTCTTTGTGCAGAACTAGAGCTGTTATATTGACAAAAAAAATGTGGCGTCCATGGGCAAATGATGGTAGTATTGCAACCGGAAGTGGTATTTCAAAAAAAAAAACATTTATCGCTAGATGCCAAGGAAATTGTGAGGAACGTTTATTTAACCCTTCTGCAGAGAGGCTATAATCAAAGTGTGAGTGAATCATCCGTTTTAACCAAAACTCCATTATCTACGGTTAAAGATATCGTAGCCAAACGCACCCAGCCAAGGAAGCAACGGTGTGACAGCGGCAAGTCAAGAAAGGTTGAAGAAGCGGATAAAGAGTTGATTCGTAGGAAAATTTATGAATTGTACAGTAAACAAATAATACCTACAATAGATTCTCTAAAAAAGGTACTTATAGAAGACGAAACTGATATATTATGTAGCAGAACAAGCCTTTGGAGAATTGTGAAAGCAATGGGTTTCAAATATCAAACCATTAATAAGAGGCAAGTGCTAATGGAATCCCAGCGAATACAAGCATGGCGTCGAGAATATTTAAGTTCCATAAAACAATATAGGGCAGAAAATCGTCCGATAATATATCTTGACGAAACATGGTTTGATACCCATGACACTCCCAAAAGAGGATGGAGCGACTCAACCTCCAAATGTCAAACCAAAGCACCCTCAAATAAAGGCCAGAGGATTACAATTTTGCATGCCGGATCAGAAAATGGTTTTGTTCCAAACTCTTTGCTGCTATCCGCAAAAAAAATAGCCAATTCATCATTAGATTATCATCAAGATACCAATGCAAAATTATTTGAAGAATGGTTTCAGAATCGCCTTCTTCCGAACATACCAGAAAACAGTATAATTGTGATGGACAACGCTAGTTACCACAGCCGTCAAAAAAATAAAGTGCCCAATGCAAGTAATACAAAAGTAGAACTTCAAAAATATATGATGGAAAATGATATGTATTTCGAAGAAAATTATACAAAGAAAGATCTTTTAAACGTTTTGAAATCATATAATGTTAAAAAAGAATATATTTGTGACGATCTTGCTAGCGCTTGTGGTCATACAGTTTTGCGTCTTCCTCCATATTATTGTATTTTCAATCCAATAGAACATATCTGGCATGAATTGAAGGCAATGGTTAGGAGAGGAAACACCTCTCCTACACTTAGTACTGCTGTAATAGATTTAATTAGAAAATGTGTAGATAATATTCCAGTTCAAAGCTGGAAAAATTCTGTCAATCACGTTATAAAAGTTGAAGAAACCTATAATTCAATAGGTATTAATGTTAAGCCATTAATAATTAGTTTAGGCATAGATGAAGATGACAGTGACAGTGAAACGGAACTAAATATAGATTAGGTTTGGTTGAATTGTGTATTGTATTATATTGTATTAGATATTAAGTTTTGGTAATTATTAAGATAGTATAAGATTATAACATAAATAAATAATATTATGAAACGCCTTTTTCGTTTTCATTATAATGGGCACAAAATCCGTACCTGTAAACCTTTGAGTGGGTATTAAGGAACCCGGTACCTACATAAAAGAACCTGGTACCTACACAATAGAGGCTAATAGCTATCTAATTTATGGTAGGGTTTTATAGCCGTGAAGTCAACGAAATATTTTGGAATGGACATATACAAAACACAACTTTTTATTTAGTTTTTGCACTTTTCCGAACTTTCCCGCTATCCGTTGTTTATATTTTTTTCTTCTAACCGCTCGACGTAACCATATCGCCGAGGCGGTTAGAGAAATGACATACCGTTTTCTAACCCGGTTACAAAGTGACATCTTCGATACCACTCGAATTTGAGCGGTATGTTGCGGTTTGTTAAACGGGAGCCACGTGAAAAGAGCTAATGCTTGACCCGAACTTCCATATTGAATTTCATTTTTGACAGGTCAGTAGATTGCCTAATATAGGTATAACTAAAATGTAGATGTGAAGCCATTTCTTACCCAACCAACATTTTCCTTAAATTTTAGGTGGGAACCAGGACTATTCAAAGAATTTTGACTGGACAATATACAATCGAAAAACCTTAAGGCCGACCGAAAAAGACAGAGACTATTATGAACCGAATGTTTAAAGAAGATTTACAACGACAAATTTGGAAATACAATTCTAAAAATGAATATTTTATATTACAAACATTACTGACATACGCCAAAGAAAATTTGGAATTTAACGGAGGGCAAACAAATTTATATAAAATTTTAAAATCTATGGGATATAAATTTAAAGCAGTAAATGGACGCAAAATTTTATGTGAGCAGAAACATGTTCTTGCTGCCAAAATTACATTTTTGTGGAAATACCACCAATATAAACATTCAAACGAAAATATCAGATTCGTGTATTTAGATGAAACTTGGATCTACCAAAACGGATCTCAAGTTCATCGATGGATACACGAATCTGATATGAAAAGCAACCCATCCAAAATTAAGTCAGAGGGAAAACGTTTTACTATTTTGCATGCGGGGAGTAGTTCTGGGTTTTTAAATGGGTGCGATTTTTTTCTAGATTCAAGAAACAATGACAGAAACTACCACAATACCATGAACGCGGACATCTTCCAAAAATGGGTCGTTGATCAACTAATTCCTGCATTGAATATATATTTGAAGAGAAATGTGTACTAATCATGGACATTCAGAGCGGAAGGATAAACCACCTTCATTCTCTTCAAAGAAAGTCAAAATGCAGGAATGGTTGGTTAAACATAACGTAGACTTCGACACAAAAAAATGACCAAAAAATCACTACATTGACTATGGGACCTAACTCAACCATTTTGGAATAGACCAAAACAATACAAAATTGATGACATTTTGAAAAGCCACGGACACGAAGTTCTTAGATTACCTCCTTATCATTGCCAATATAATCCTATTGAAATGGCATGGGGGTTTTGTAAGAACTTCTATAATAAAACTATAACTTCGCAGCCACCATCCACGGATAGGGTTGCGAGGGTATGGCGTGAGTCTCTTTCAAAATGTATCTCAGACATGTGGACGAATTTTTGTAGACATATGACAGACTTATTTCAGAAGACTGGACAAAATTAATGGGAGACTTACCTTTCAAAAATATTCCTCCTTTCATTATTTCTCTTGGAGAATCCGATTCCGAGTCGGATTCAGAAATGTTGTCTGAATCCTGAATCTGAGGAGGTATCTAATTCTTCAAGTGAAATGGTGGAAGCTGAATAAGACGGACTAAAAACGGATCTGAATTTGAACTATTACTTTGACAAAACTATAAGGGGAGGGTGGATAGGATCGGGATACTGGGAGACAATGGACACGCTAATATTTCCCGCCTCTTGCGGCTTTCTGATCTATCACGCCAAGGCGCCAAGTATATTAACACTTTCTCAAAAAATGGACTTATGTAAAAATTGTAGAGATCTTACCCACCCTCCCATGCCTACAACCCTTTCAAAAAGATAAGGTTTTGTTACAATCGATCCTGCAAGGGAAGATATTTGGAAAGAGAGGACCAGGGAGAAGAAGAATATCGTGACGGAAAAATCTCAGAACATTGTTTGATAAAAGCTCGCCACAACTCTTCCATATTGCTGCGAATTGAGTGGACATCGCCATAATAATCGATGATCGCCGACATTCATAAGGGATAGGCACGTCCAGAAGAAGAAGAAATAAAAAAATAAAAATAGAAGAAATGCCGTTGGACCAAACCCGAAAAAAAAGTTACTGTGAAACATATTTATGCTATTGAGCTTACTGTTATGGTTACGTTTAATTAATAAATTGAATAATTTTACTATTTGAATTTACTCAGATATTTTCAGCTTTCTTTTTCATAACCCTGAAATTTGAAATGTCATTATTATACGAGGGTCAACCTGTCAAATTTCCATGGATAATGCTACGCCAATAATAAGTGAAAAGCATATACATGCATTTTTTTATTGTGCTGTATTGTGTAAATCGACCTATCTTATCACCGTAAAAACGACAAAGAGAGTCAAGTCAGGCTGTGTTCGGTTTCGTCATCTTTTTCATCGATTTGCTCCGAAATTTTGACAGGCACGTGACTGGATCAGACAGTTTCAATTTACAAATCACGTGCCTGTCAATATTTCGGAACAAATCGACGAAAAGGATGGCAAAAACGAACACGACTACTGTCTATGAAGTCAGATTTCTGGAAGTCAGTGTCATCTTTAAATCAAACAAAATCTCGTCGCAAATATCCTTGTTTGATAAGGCACAAATCTTGGCTAAAGTGGATGGTGGATGGTCGGTCAGAACAGTGGCTGCCCATTATAAACGTAGCAAAATCACATTTTTACTTTTGTTCAGCTTTGACATTGACGAAAACTGTCTGACCCTGTCCTAAGTTTTCCAGAAGAGACTTTTCACTCTTAAGTCAGATTCACATTAGTCCGTGCTGTGCTAGTTTTATGATTGGTCAAGTGTATTTACACTGAGAAATATTTTCTCAGTTTTGAGAATATAAAATCATAATATTTTATAATTTAACAAAATATGCATTTTATTTCAGGTGCAGTCAGCTTGCACCGATTGTCACGGCAGTGGTGAATTGATCAGAGACAAAGACAAATGTACCGTATGCAAAGGTAAAAAAGTGTGCAATGAAACGAAAATCCTGGAAGTGCATGTCGACAAGGGCATGAAGAACAACCAGAAAATCCTCTTTAGAGGTGAAGGTGACCAGCAACCCGATGTCGAAGCCGGTGACGTGGTTATTATTTTGCAACAAAAACCTCACGAGAGATTTGAAAGAAACGGCGACGATTTGCACATGAAGCATACGATTTCACTTACTGACGCTCTTTGTGGATTTTCCTTTGTTGTGCACCAACTCGACCAAAGAGATTTGCTTATTAAGCATCCCCCAGGTCAAGTAATCAAGCCGGGAGATGTCAAAATAGTTTCCGGGGAAGGAATGCCCATTTACAAGAATCCGTTTGAAAGGGGAAATATGTTTATAACTTTTCAAATTAAGTTTCCTGAGAATCACTTTGCTCCGGAAGCGACTTTGCTTAAATTGGAATCCATGTTGCCACCCAGACCTGTGTTTAGTTTACCAGACAGTGCACAAGTTGAAGAAGTGGATTTGGTTGATTACGATGCAAATGAGAGAAGTTCACATTCGCATGTGAGGAATAGAGGGGAAGCATATGCTAGTGACGATGAAGAACAACCCGGGCCTGGCATGCAGTGCATGCATCAATAGAATAAATATCCTTTTTAGGTGATTATTCATACTTATTGTTTGCGCTTTTTTCTAAACGAGGAAATTCATTATATTTAACATTTTAAATTTAAAAAAAAAGAGAAAATACATCACCCTCTTTTTTTACATACATATTTTACATACACTAGGGAATAGTGACTATTGATAAAAATAAGAAACTGTTTTGGTTTAGGTCCTGACAACTACACTTCACATTGTAACTTGAAAAAAAAAAATATGTTTTTTGGAGCAGTACCTTTACACCTTCAATTTTATAATTAATTTTTTGTTAGTTTTATTATTATATAAATAATATACTGTATTTTTATTCATCTTCCTTTATATTAGAATGTCTACTAATTTAATGAATTTGCATATTTATCAATATGTGATCCTGTATTTCCATAATATTTATTTTTGTATTAGGAATAATAGTTTTTATGCTAAAGTTCAAAAAAGGTGTTTCCCAAGGTTCTAGCTTCATGAATAAAACATTAATTAATCTCAATTAAGTTGGTTACTGATTTATCCTATATCACGAAAAATTTAAATATGACTGAATGTCTCAGCGTTTTGTGAAGTCATTTTATTTTTTATCCATCATCCATATTTCTTGCTCTATGTAGATTACTTGACTTGAAGGTGTTCAGCTCAACTGGAATATTACTCTGATTTCTGGTCACATCTATCTGCTAGTATTGGGGAATAATACATTTTTGAAGTGCAATTATAACAAGGCAGTCTGACAGAATATGTTTGTATAAGGGCTCTTTTAGGCTAATAAGTGGGAGTCTTGTCGCGTATGGTTTGGAAATAGTTTGAACTGAGTTATTGCAATTTTTCACACCAAAAACTTTGGAAATTTCTCCAAAGTAAGCACCAGATGATGAAGTAAATCAGCATCTGCAAAACTGGAATGTTTAAATAAATGATCCTGTTAATTTGAATGGCTCGTTATTTGCTTGTTTTATGTATTTTGCTACAATCATTAATTTCTTCTGTTAAGAAGTAGTGGTGGAAATTGAGAGCCGAATAGCTCATTTTTTGTAGAGAGAAAATACAAGGCACAGCTTCAGCCCTATTTAGAAGTGATACAACCTTATAGTATGAGAAAAATGCAGTTGATTGTTCACTCGACGCTTGTACTGCGAATCTTGCATATTTTGGCAAATATTTTGATTAGAAAGCTTTGTTATTTACGATATGTTGCTACAAAGGCTCAGAAAGTAGACCACGATCAAAGAATCCACGATGCTATCCCCAGTTAGCAGTTTCTCAAATATGATAACATTATCGACTTTCTCAACAATTTTGAAGTGAAATCGGACATCGAGAGTATTCTATCACTTCTCTTTGGCAAGGAAACTACTGATGCAGTTTTTGATTAGGAAAATAACCTTTTTCAAATGAGTAATTAATGATATAAGAACTTGACAACAATTTACAAGAAATTCTTTAAGTATGTAGGTACATAATATCTTTACAGACAAGCCATGACGATTTTTTTAGCTAATGAAATGTGGAAGACCCTAAAACGAATTATTACCAATAAGGGACGTGGAAGCTTGAAATGAAATAATATTCAGCAATATAATTGTAACAGGAAAAGAAGTGAAATTTTTTTTTTAGTGTTAGTAAAGAAATTACTGAAAATATTGTACCTACACACAAAAACATACTTTGAGAGTATACATATAGGCCAAGCAATGAAGGAAGTTTACCTCAACATAATTAGAAGTTAACATTTTTTTTTGGGGGATCGGTTCATTTTCATGTGCTTAAATAACATATTAAGTTTGCGACCTTGTACTTCCATAGGGTTTTTGGTTAGGGGTGGTTTTTAGGGGTGATTTGCGGTTTATGGAGAGCGCTGCTCAAAGGGATAGTCCATTAGCAAAAATTTCAAATGATTGTTGTAGCTGAAGTTTTTTGCTATAAAAAACTCAGCGACAGCACCCTTCTATCTTCTATATTTTTTTTTCTGCAGCGTCTTGAATACTAGCATGTTTTTATTCAAGGTCACTGAATCAATGTTTCACATGTTTGCGCGCATTTGATGTAGCAGCGGCCAAATGCATAATCCGATTTCAATTTTTCAAACACCACATTAGGTCTGTTTCTACAGGAGTCTCTGACAGTTTGCAACCTGTCAGAAACAATCGCTCAGCTGAGTTACAGATTTATCTTGTAACGGCAGCATTGAAAACATGTATTATGGGCGATGCTTACTGACAGTTCGCAAACTGTCAGAGACTCCTGTGGAAACAGACCTACAGGGTGTCCCAAAAAGATACCGACAAACTTCAAGGGGCAGTTGGGGATATCAAAACAAGCATTTTTGTTTATATAAACATATGTCCGCAAATGAGCCATTTGGGCTGTAGAGCAAAAAAAACTGTTTGGTACTTTTATTCTTTGCAATAATTAAATCACTGTTTACTTATTAATTTTGCTCTATCAACCAATAAATTATGGTTTACAATAATTGTTCAGAATTGAACAATCATCAATCATTGTCACGCGAGCCCTTTGAAATATTCCGAGAATAGCTTCTACATGAGTACAACTCGCCAGTATCCTTGCTAACAGATCTTCCTCATTACCAGCATTACGAACACGTGTTTCGTAGAATAAACTTTTCAGTCGATAACCTGCCGGTGCAATCTTTGCATTGAAGTAAATGGTCAACATTTTGAACAAATATTGTAAACCATAATTTTTTTGTTACTAAAGCAAAATTCATAAGTAAACAGTGATTTAATTATTGCGAATAGTACCAAACAGTTTTTTTGCTCTACAGCCCGGATGGCTCATTTGCGGACATATGTTTATATAAACAAAAATGCTTGTTTTGACGTCCCCTACTACCCCTCAAAGTTTGTCGGTATCTTTTTGCGACACCCTGTTTTATTGCTAATGAAATGCACTTTCCAATGCTTTTTTGTTCGAATTTTTTGCTTGAAAATTAAGCGAGCACGGACTTACCTAATTTGCGAGGAAGTTGTAAATTGCTTCGAAAACTACCCCTTTCTTGCATTCACTGTAATTTCTAAACGGGGTCACATATTTGGTGACAGTTTTCGGCAATCGGCAGCCCATTTATTCCTCTCATATTGCCCCAGCGGATTTTTTTTTCGTTTATTATGCCCGTATTACATCTGTGTATTTCTCCGTGTATCTATTCATGTAGTTCAAGGTGACAACCGAAAAACTTCAAACGCAACATAAATTAGCATTATGAAAAACAAAATAATGTTGACAGCCTGAATTACATGAATAAATACACGGAAAATACACAGATGTAATACGGGCATAACTCAATGACTTATTGGCCTGAACACGTCGCGCGGAATTTTTCAAAAAGTCAAAAAAAAATTTAAATTGTCGCACAGCGCTGGAATTTAAATAGTACGATGGCTTTTTTTATTGTTTTTATGAATATACTGCAATTTTAATGCTTCACATAATTGCTGCAATAATTAAGATTGCAGTATATTCATGAGAAAAATAAATAAAGCATAATAGACTTAAATGGGACCAGTTGACAGATACCCATTTCACTGCAGGATCGCCACGCTGGATCATTGATCGTCCCTGCAGATTCCTTCATATTATTAAAATTCGTGCATCTTCGGCAGCTCGGCTATACTCGGCTTCGACAGCACCATTTGCGTAGTCAGGATTTTGTCTTCGAGGGGGAAGAGGCAAATTAGCAGGAAGTGATCCTTGCAGCAATGCGAGCTGCTGCAGGAAGAAAAGCGCCGCAGCCGCGAAATTTTTGAGTCTATTCACGATATTTTTGGGATTTCTAATGATGGGGGCAAGTGAAAATTGAAAATGCGGCTAGTTCAACAAATTTTGATAAGAACTTATAGTAGATCGTTACCTATCGTATCGAATGCCTTTGCAAGGTCTAGGAATACAGTGAGATATTTCCTGTTAATTCATATATGGCATGTTCAGTACCAAGTCCGTTTCTGAAGCCAAACTGACTTTTCGAAAAAATAGGTATCATAAAGATTTTAAGGCACTTTTTGTTTTTGAGTTTATTCACACATATGGGAGAACTTTTCTATAATAGGCTACCATCGCAAGTTAGAGAAATCAGACAACAGAAAAAGATCGAGCGGTCAGTCAGAATCTACTTGCCTTGAAAGCAAGGGCAAACTATAGCTTCAACAAATCATTGGCGTATCCAGGATTTTGGTTTATTGGTTTAGGGGGGGCTGTGTTAACAAAAAGTGTTGACCAAAAAAAAAAAAAAAGCTGCGCGCGCACAATAGTCCATTTTTACGTGTCTCTCATTGACGAAAGCATTCATGCGCAATGCGCATGTTGCCACATTATAAATGACGAAATATTTTAGGATTATGTTACTAGGTAGCCAGAGTTCACCGATTATACCTAAAACCTAAACTTTTTTTTTATAAAGTAGTAAAGGAGGAGAACTTCGGCATCCTCGCATGTTTGGGAAAGTGACGTCCCTTTCCTATCGGGCGTTTTCGCAGCAGTTTGAAAATTCGTTTTTCAAATCATTTTATTTTCAAAAATAAAAGTTTTTTTTTGGAAAAAAAGTATACAGATGTTATCAGAATGACTACCAGATTAATTTAAAAATGTGAAAGTTGCCTATTTTTGTCACCTATAACATACTCAAATGTTACGCGCCTATTTTTTTTTTTGCAGGGCGACAAAAAAATTCGCATCGAGCCACTTATTCGCTTTTTTTTGGTAAGTAAGAGAAATTTGGTTCACGGAGCACCTTCTCTCCTGGGCCCTTATTCTTGAAACAGGGGAGCAGCATTCCCATGACAATCTTTTCCGACTGTGTCACTCATATCATTTCTAAGTCATTGAGAAAAACAGAGAAATCGTTCTCACGGGAACGCTGGTCCTTATGGTTTCAAGAATAGGTACCCAGTGAGCTGAGATTCTGTAACGGATAGAGATCGTTATCCCTATTGCTAAGGCACTTGCTGTCTTCTTCCCTGTTTCCGAAATCAATAGAGACGGCACGTCAATAGAGATAGAGAAAATATCTCTATTCGTTAAAGAGTCCCCAGGGCTGGGACTCTGTAACGGATAGAGATATTTTCTCTATCTCTACTCACGTCCCCTCTCTATTGATTTCGACAAGACAGAAGAAGACAGCAAGTTCCATAGCGATAGGGATAATGATCTCTATCCGTTACAGAGTTCCAACCCAGGGTTGTTCGATTCTCGTCTCAGGGAGTAGAGCTTTTTTATTACGTTGGCACCGACAAAACATGCGTTCTATCGGGAAGCTCTACTATACCTGAGACGAGAATCAGGCCCCTGAGAAAGGAAGTATTCAGGATGATTAAGATGAAGCACTGATTCCCTTGCTGCATTAGGCGCCCGCCATAGAAAAACCCTAATATAGAAAGAAATTAAATCAATTTCTATTTTTTTATACAAAAAATGTACAGGTCACAAAAAATACGCTGGAAAAAAAAAGTCTAGACTTGCCTTGGGGGGCCCTTGCTT